CTAGCACTCAATGACACAGGGTTTATACTGGTTCAGGCAACGTGCTCTACGTCCAGTTTGAGTCGGTCGGTGACTTTATTCCTGAGCCTAGGTGCTCAAAGTTTGCAGTGGGGTTACAAATGAGAAGGAGAAAGATGAGGGGTACAAGAGGTCCGGTCGGACCCTGGTTAGAGGGACCGAGAGCGACGGGAGCTCCGCTATATGCTAAGTGTTCGAGCGTGTGCTCGTGGTTTGAACCTGGTGGTTCTGCTATTGTGTACTAGTGAACTTGATCGATTTGAATCAACCTATCTGTTGGAAGAGAGCGCATCCGCTTTTATAGATGAAGGGGATGGCTTTACAAGCGAGAGGGAGGGAGTACGTTCGCTGCTAAGTCTTACTGCCCACGCCAGCGGGTACAAGACGATGGTAGGCACCCACAATACTGTTGAATGTCAGATGCACGTGGGAGGTTGTGTCGTCCTCTTCAGGTATGGCAGATGTCGGTACCTGCTATACTGTTGTTACCGAGAGGCATGCAGGGGGTTTTACTATGTTCACCTGGCATGGTAAATGTCGGCGCCCACAACACTATCGATGCCTCAGAGGCACATGGGGGAGCCTTACCGTATTTGTCTGGTATGGGAGTTGATGACGCCCACAACACTGTAGGAAAAATGTCGGCGCCTACAACATTGCTTGTGTTCTGCCTTGTCAGGGAGGTCGCAGGGTACTATCCTGCAGGTGTATAGGGTACGGTCCTCGGTATTGCGGTTGACTTGAGTGCTCTGCCTTACTTTCTCTGTCTATTTCCTGGTCCTTACCGAGCAGGCGTCCCCATTCGGTTGGTCCTGGTTGGCTTTGATTGCGCCAGTCGGAGAGGAGCCGTAGGCAGGGGTCCGGCGTTTTCCCGGTTGGAGAAGCGGGCCGGAGTCGGAAGTGGCGTTTTGGCCAGGCCTTCCGGTTGGAGAGACCGTCTAGAGGCAGGCTGGAGACCGAAGCGAGCGCTCCGGTCGGAGAGGTGGGATAGAGTCAGAAGCGGACGCCGTTCCTCCTCGGCCAGGCCTTCCGGTCGGAGATTGGATCGTCCTTCTGTCCTATTGTCTAGGTATTTGGGCCGGCCCATGAGTTGCGCGTTGCTCGCAACGTTGTCTGTTGGGCCAAGTTTTTGTTGGAAAGCCAGTCCACGAGGGACCTCGGGTTTATGAACCCGACAAGTGGACTAGTTAGATAGTAGACACCAGAAAGAACAACAGTGGAGTCATAAAATAGTTCTAGAAACTCCAATATCTTTTCAGCTATATACCAATGCCTTGCAGACAATAATTTAGAGCCATAATTGGAATTAATGAACACAGAAAAATATGCTTATATGGAACCAAGTGTGTAAGCATTAGATATGTAGCATTCCATGTAACATCCATATCTAAGCTAAACTTTCTAGGTCTAACACCCTTAGCAGTATAGTAGTTCTTAAACATAGCAATCCTTTGATTAGAGGAATTTAAGAAGTTAATAGCAGTTCTAAAATCTTCTGTGTAAGGTTTGAACCTCTTTAAACCAAATTTTACAATCAGATTAATGATATGACAAGCACAACGTCGATGCACAAGACTGTACTTACGCTTAAAAGGATCAATAGGCTCAGGTGTAGGATCAGGACCCAAATAATCAGCAAACATAGGTGTCAAAGTTTCCATAGCCTTAGCATTAGAATAAGCATTGTTTAGAGTTACAAAGAAAACCTTATCAATCAGACCAAACTCCTCAACCACACAAGCAACTCTTTCAGCAATATTTTCACCAGTATGTTTCACCTCAATCAACCTAAGCCCAATAACCTTTTTCTTTAACTTCCAATCAGCACTCACAAAAAGAGCAACAACACTAATGTAATCCTCCTTAGCATTACCAGACCAAATGTTTGATGTCAGAGCAATAGAGGAACCAACAGACAACATAGAATTCTTAAGCATATTATGACATTCAGTAAACAGTTTACTCAGATCTCTAGTGGTGGTTTGTCTAGATACTTTAAAAAATCTAGGGTTATGAGCATGAACAATGTAATCCTCCCAGGCCCTGTCTCACCAATACCTAACGGCAAATCAAGCCTAACAATCAAGCGTCACAATTCAGATCTAGCAACATCAGATTTATAGTCCCAGTTATGCACAGAACCATTAGGATTGTAAGCAAGTCTAGACTGAACCCTAGTAGCTTGATCAGTTTTCTACCTACAAGATTTCTGGTGCCTCTTCAAGTGCCCAGTGTTGGCATTAGATCTAGCAGACAAGGTTTGCTTACACATTTTACAGGTAGCTTTAGTGCAAATCTTCCTACCATTCACAGTCTCATATATCTCATCAAAATCAGCCCACGCAGATGATTTACGCTTACCAACACCAGGTCCAGAAAGAGGTACCAGTATCAGCAACAAATGGAGTTGAGTCGTTGGAGCAGACCGGGGTCCCAGCCGCTGTCGCCCCTTCACCACCGTCGCCGTTGGAGCCCAGTGCCGAAGAAGACGTGGGCCACCCAGAGAAGACAACATGCCGGTTAGAAGGATGGCGAGCGACGGAGGAGGGGTAGACGGGGATACGAACTCACATAATCACCGAGATTTAGAGGGGAGATAGGGACAGTGAGAAGGGAGAGGCGGATAGGGAGGGGTTCAAGTAGGAGTAGGGAGCTGCTCATCGGCGGCAGGTGGATCGTTGAGGCCACCTCACCGGAGTCGGGGAGGACGGAGCCGAGACGGCGAGGGCGCGAGCCGCGAGGCGAGACGAGAGCGGCGCAGCGGGTGAAATGAACTAGGGTTCAGGGTGAGGGAGAGGGCGCCGTAGTGTGCCGCTTATATATGAGGGGGGAGGCGAAGAGCCGTTGGGGCTGGGCCTTGGGGAGGAGGGGGACTGGGGGCCGGGGGGAGGCCGGGCCGCTGCCGGGCCAACCGTTGAAGGCCGGGCCTAGCCGGGCCAGCCCACGGGCCTGAGCAGCGGCCCAGGCACGGCCTGGTCCCTCGGGCCGGGCCAGCCCAGGCCCGCTGACCATCGGGCCGTGCCGTGCTTGGGCCAGGCCAAAATTGCGGGCTTCATGTTGGGCCGCCATGCCTCGGGCTACATGGACATTTATAGAGTCTGGAGACGCGGCGGTGAAGAAGATAATAGATTGGGGTATGCGTCTGGGCCCAAGAAGCCTCTTGATCTCTAGAGGGAGGCAAACGTGGACGCTTAGGACGGAATGGAGGCAGAAGACGTGGATGGCTTGGATGAAAAGACCGTACAGTAACCGTGGAAGGAAACAGTGCAACAACCAAACATGGTCACAGAAACTAAAGATTTGTACAAAAATACTCGTCAGGCCCACATGTACAAATTTCGCTTGTAAATGCTGATAGCGCCTCAAAAAAAATTGTTGGCAAAATAAATACTACTCAAATATCAGGAAATTTTAGTAGTCTATGTAGATATCAAAAGGAAAGAATTTTCATAGAAAAGACGAATTTGTGTTCTTTTTCCATAGATACATCAAAGAAAGACCATGAGGGCTGATCTCTTGATCAATGTAACGATCCTGAATGAATAAAGTCTGCCATATTGATTTCCAAAAAAAAAGACCACGAGGAATGTAGAGGGACTCCTGCCACCGCTTGGCAAAAAGAAGCAGCGGAACTTGCCCATCCGAAAAGGGAAAAGAGGTTAGGAGCGCTGGGCTGCTGGAGCCCGCAGGGGTAACTAAAACTAATCAGCTTTCAAAAAAAAACTAATCATGCATCATGGATAGACGGACGGTGATTTGACCATTCGTTTGAGCTACTTTTCAGCCATAAAACAGTATTTTCTTTTATAATATTTTGGCCCCGTTCGTTTCTTTTATAATCCGTCTTTTTCAACTTATTTTTTGAGTCGAAACAGCGTTTTTCTCTCACAGCAAATCAGCCGGAACAGTGTTTCGGCTTGTTTTTTCAGCGAAGCGAACGGGGCCTTTAGCATAAGTATCAGCATAAATTGAATTTCAGCATAAGCGAACAGGACTTCTGTTCGCTCGGTTGCTGGGGCCCTGTTCGCTTGAGCTACTTTTCAGCCATAGATAATATTTTTTTCTTATAATATTTTAGCATAAATATTAACAAGCTAAATTTCAGCCTAAGCGAACATGACTTCTGATCGCTCGGTTGGATATCACGTATTCACATCCCTCTCCCAACGGAAGGATGGGATGAATCACATGTAGCCATGTAGGCCGCGTAATCCAGAGCACTCATGACCTCACTGCAGCCTGCGGGCACCGAGAAGAGAACACGTGTGTACAGCTAGTAGTATACCACCACGCTTCCCCGTACACAGTGGCGGAGCCAAAATGAGCACCTCAGGGGTAATCAATAGAGATTTAGAACAAATGTCGAAGATTAATGGTGAAATCATGTTTTTCCTACAGTAATAAAAAGCCAAAACCACTCTCACGGGGCTGCAGCCCCCCCTTTGGATCCGTCAATGCCCGTACAAATAAGGTGCAACCTCCGCTAAACGCGCAAAGAAACCTTCTGGCCTGCCTGCGCGTGGGATACTATTCCTCCCGAGACCCGCAAGCGGCACCAAAGAAAGCAGGCCGCTGCCGCCGCCAACCGCGCCACGCTCCAGGTTGGGTCGTTCGGTGCCACTGCCACCACCACCCGCCCGCTGCGCTGCTGCGTTGCCAGTCCGTCTCCAGCAGGGTCCGTTCGGTCAGCATCAGCGGCGCAGCCTTCCGTCGTGTTGGCTGTTGGCCTCTTGCATTGCATTCCCTTACCTTACCCCGCAAGCCATAGAATTGAGACGCGGTTTTTGGTTCCGCCACCCACCATTAAGAAGACGCGAGTCGACGCGAACCTGCCCACGACTCTTCCTACTCTGCTTTTCGCGTGCTACGCCGTCCACGACTCTCTACTCTGCTTTCGTCTACGCGCGTCCCTTTAAGGCTCGAACACCACGCCCCCGGCGCCCCCTCAACAAACCCAAAACCCGACTGTGAGTTGAGACGAGATGATGCACCACCACCGGAAGGGCGAGGCGGCGGCAGAGGATCCGCTTCCGCTGCCGGCGGAAGAGTCAGGCGGCGTCAAGATGAAGGAGCTCCGGGGCCGCCTGGCAGACTACACCTGCCAACACCGGAAGCACGGCCACGATGCGCTGCTCCGCATGCTTGCCAGCTTCGCGCTCGTATCCTGCCTCCTCCTGCTGCTTCCGGGCAGCCCCGTCTCCGCAACCATGGACGAGCTGCTGCAGCTAGGGAGGAGGGCGCGGCACGACGACGAGGGACCGGCGCCGCCGTGCGCCGATGTGGCCAACGGCACCCTCTGCTGCGACCGCACCGCGCTCCGCACCGACGTCTGCGTCATGCGCGGGGACGTCCGCACCCAGGCCGCCTCCCACTCGCTCTTCGTGCTGCTGCCGCCCAACTCCAACTCGTCTCGACCGGCCACCGACGAGCGCATCCGCCCATACACGCGCAAGTGGGAGTCCAGCATCATGAGCACCATCGACGAGCTCCGCCTCCGCTCCGCGCCCGAGGGAGACGCCGCCGCGCCCGGCAGCTGCGACGTCCGCCACGACGTCCCCGCCGTCGTCTTCTCCACCGGCGGCTATACGGGCAACGTGTACCACGAGTTCAACGACGGCATCATCCCGCTCTACATCACCACGCGCCACTACAACAAGAAGGTGGTCTTCGTCATGCTCGAGTACCACGACTGGTGGATGACCAAGTACGGCCACATCGTTGAGCAGCTCTCCGACCACCCGCCCATCGATTTCACCAACGACCGCCGCACGCACTGCTTCCCCGAGGCCGTCGTTGGGCTTCGCATCCACGACGAGCTTGCCATCGACGCCGTGCGGATGCCAGCCAACCAGACGATCCAGGATTTCCGCCAGATGCTCGACCACGCTCACCGTGGTCGCATCCAGACAATCGTCAAGGAGGAGGAGGAGAAAGAAGCTGCTGCTGCGAGGAGACAGCAACGTCATCGATCAAGCAAGCGGAGCCGGCGCACCAAGACAGATGAGGGTGACAAGCCTCGGCTCACGATCATCTCTCGGAACGGGTCGCGCGCGATCGAGAACGAAGCTGAGCTGGTTCGCGCCGCTGCCGGCGCCGGGTTCCGCGTCGCCGTGCTCCAGCCACGCCAGGACACGGAGCTCGCCAAGATGTACCGCGCCCTGAACGCCTCGGACGTCATGGTGGGCGTGCACGGCGCGGCCATGACGCACTTCCTTTTCATGCGCCCGGGCTCGGTGTTCATTCAGGTGGTGCCGCTTGGCACCGACTGGGCCGCCGAGACGTACTACGGCGAGCCTGCCCGGCGGCTGGGCCTACGCTACATGCCGTACAAAATCCTGCCGTCCGAGAGCTCGATTTACGGGCAGTACGCCAACGACGACCCGGTGCTGACTGACCCGGATACCGTGAACGCCAAGGGGTGGCAGGTCACCAAGCAGGTTTATCTGGACGGCCAGAAGGTGCGGCTGGACATGGCACGGTTCCGCCGCCGGTTGCGCGAGGCGTATGGCCACTGGGCGCAGCAGAGGCAGCGCCACCGTGCGGGATTGGTGGTGGAACACAGGATATTATACCATTGATTTGATTGAAGCGTGGGTGTGAAGGAGGATATTTCAATTGATTCTTTTTTATTTTTATTTTTTGTGACATACGTAGTGAATATTGTAACTTAAATACTCCTACTAGAACATATACAGAGGGTGATCTGTGCTCCCTGCGGAGTTTGATGAGTAACATTTGTACATGCCCCGTACTACGTACATAACAAGTGGTCAATATAAATAAACGAGAGAGAAAAAAAAGGGACAGAGAGAAATTTGGTTCTCTCTATTTTATATCCGTCTTTGGACTTGGGTTAACGCAATCCGTAGTAGCGTTCTCGTTCTAGGAATTATTGGATGATACGCCCATAGCGAAGGAGAGATCTTTCCCATCAATCGCAACTGCAGTAAAATAAAACGCTTAAAATTCACATCAATAGTAATATTGAAAACCAAAAGAATATCTTACCCATGCCTGATGGTCGGCTTAACAAAACTCCACACAATGACACAACTGTCACGCTACCCGTACAATGACGACCCACTGTTCTTTGAAAAATCATTCACAATTTTCACACCGCTCGGAAAATGTATGCCAAGGACGATAATACTGCTCTATGGATTTCACTCTTCAGAGACACTTGAGTTTATGTGCCATCAATATTTTCCCAAGTAAGCAGCCCCCTCTAATACCCTGTTTGGATCTATGAGACTAAACTTTAGCCCAGGACTAAAGATTAGCCCTTAAAATGAAGGGGCTAAAGTTTAGCCCATAGGACTGTTTTGATTTAGGAGCTAAAGATTAGCCATATACCCTATCATGACTCATTTGCCCCTAATTAATACTCATGCACAAGACAAACAGGGTGGGTGAAGGTAATATGTATCTTTTGACATGAAGAGACCACTTTTAGCCATCTTTAACTCACTTTGGAGAGGCTAATGAAAAAGGGATAGGCTAAAGTTTTGCCCCCACTTTTAACCCTCCTGTTTGATCCATGAGGGCTAAAAAGTGACTAAAAGAGGTGCGCTAAACTTTAGCCCCATGGATCCAAACATTGGGCGGTTACGCAAGAGAAAAAAGGTCTTCTCTTCAGAGGAAATGGGTGGATAGGACATACATTGAATTAATCATAATGATGTCCAGAGCCAAGTTTTGCTCTTTTTAGGGCTCGACACACAATCGTAGGTTCCAATACAGTCTGAGATGTTCTTACAGGATGAAAAAAAAGGATGCTACAATGCTGAAATGGTTACATATTACACAAGGGATCTTCGGAGCCACAGGTGATCAGCAGATTGCCATCATCACTGGATTTGCTATCATTTTGATTCTGAACAGTTGATAAAATCAGCATCTGTATGCTCATTAGAAGGATGACATTAGATTCACAGGCTAACTAAATGCACATAATCTTACTCAAATTGAGTAAAACCTTATCTTCTAGCACATCTCACATTATTGTGATGGCTGCAATACAATTTCTTGCTCATCTCGTTGATCTTCTGATGGCACCCTAGGAGTTCCCAAGGGTACCTTCGGTTCTGCACATTTTGAAATTTGCAAAAGGGTTACTATGTGTTGATTGCGCGAGCATATATGGTAACATGATATTTTGATGCATATAGGCAACTCACCAGGTTCTAGTATCAAGGGGGTTGAGGATATGATTTCCTCTTTTGTTGCTGTTGTAACCTTGGAGCAATGTCTATGAAACAGCAAATGGGCCACTATACGATCAACTGGATTAGTGGTCGTTTCTGCTTCCTTAGTTGGAGACCTGAGATCATAATATATAAACTGAGCCATTCTGAATGCTTTCAGTGATTAAAACACTGGAATACAAACTAATCCATGAGAAGCGCACATAAAACGTCTGGTCCGACGTTGCATAGATGGTAAATAAGAAATGATTTGAGGTCACTGGGTGACTTTACATTGCATAATATCAATTACCTGATAGTAATGCAGGAACACGTTAATAAACCCATTTTTAGTGTACTCTACCTTGTTCTCCTAGTAGATGCATCATTTTCGGAAGCTTCATCTTCATCTTTATTAGTCTTGTTAGTGCTGCTCCTATCACCATCAATTTGTCTCTCTGCTGCACTATAGGCCAAACGAAGCAAACTATCTCGAATGCATAGTCGAGTTTTGGTATCCAACTGTGTCAGAAGGATTAAAAAAGTTAACTTTTGTATTGCACATCCCCAGCAACTCAATAATACTATTAGTAAACATATGAAGAATCAATGAAATCGAAAGGGTTAACAAATTGCCTTGCCAAGAGCATCTTGTAGCTGATAATATATTTTTTCCTCTATAAAGGGATCATCTGAAATTGCAGAACTCTTGTGAACCAGGTCATGGTTAGTTGGAATCATCTCAGGCGAAAAAACCTTATTTGCGTTTTCATCTATGACAATTGAACTCCCTAAGGAATCCGGATTTTTGTTCCTAGGGGAGTATGCTTGAGACACCATTGTGTCACTGCCAGAACCCTCTTGACCAAACTGTTGCTGCTGTTGCTGAATAGCTATCAGTGCTTGCATTTGCTGCCGGCGCCTAAGCTTTTCTATCTTTTCTTGTGGTGTCATTGTCACTGGTCTTGATGGAATGTCTTGTGACATTTCTATGGAACTTGACTGTTTTGGGGAATCTTCCAAAGTTCGGTAGCTTGTGCCAGTTGGTTTTGTCTGATAGCCTTCAGCTTGAATGTTTGACACTAACGGAATGGTAGGAAATGGATACGCAGGATACCCATATCCAGGAAACATAAACTGATTAGCATGCTGAACTTGTCCTATCTTCTTGCTATCCTGGAACAGTGCATATTGAGGAGTTTGTTCAGGTTGCATAGGAGCTTGCAAATTGGTTGATGGATTCTCTACTTTGCTCTGGGAGAAGCCACTTGCACTGCTGGATATTTTACTTTTACCTCTTTCCTCTGGTTTTCTGCGTGACCTCACTGGCCTCTTCTGCACTTCGACCTACACGGAGTGGTTAATTTAATCATTGAACTAAAGAAAAATCACCCACTCAAATCAGATGCTAAAAAGTGGCAATCAAGTGGGCAGATTAACCCTCTAAAGCTAGGTTTCGGAAGAGATAACAAAGAAGATTGACAGGACATATTTTGAGCTCATTTTGCAAGTAAAAGCTTTACTTTGTGCTTAATGTACTTGAGTGCACCAAAAACTTTTTTATAATCGACTTGGGCCTTGTTTAGTTCCAAAAAGTTTTTCCAAAAAGTGTTACAGTAGTCATCACATCGAATCTTACGATACGTGCATGGAGCATTAAATGTAGACGAAAAAAAAAACTAATTGCATAGTTTGGTGGGAAATCGCGAGACGAACGTTTCGAGCCTAATTAGTCCATGATTGAACACTAATTGCCAAATAAAAACGAAAGTGCTACAGTAGCCAAATTCCCAAATTTCGCGGAACTAAACAAGGCCTTGAGAGAACCAACTGGAGCATAGCTGACAAATATGAGATATCACATTATTATGACAAGATTTTCTCAAAAGATCTAAAGTTTTGTCAGAAACAGTTTGTTGACAGATTCGCACTGCAATTGTCCCATATTTAAATGCCATTTTGTTTTATGACATCAATCCAGATGAGAAACATCAGCATATCAATTGGTGCTTCAGTTTGAAGCAAACAAGCTCAGAAGTGATCTCATTCATAAAGAGTTTGGCAGAGTATATCACATGAACTGATTTGGTTTCCCAGAATATTCACAAGTCAGATGAATTTTAATCTCAGCTTCCTCTCCAGATTTAGCATTAGCATTTGCTACCTGCCAAAAGTGGATAACCAGAGTAGCCAAGAAATAATTCTAAACATAGGAACATATGTAAATGCATTTTTTTTGTGTACCTTATTTTCTTGTTTGGTAACACCACTGGAAATTTCGTTAGTCAGAAGCAAAGAAGGCCCACAATCACATGATGGTTGTTTATTCAATGGTAGTTGCTTTTTAACAGAAACAAACAAATCACAGTGAGAAGAATGTGGAAAAAAACAGCAAAAAATCAAAGTTCTATGTTCACAAACCAGAATTGGGATTGATTGCACAGCATTATCCATCAAATTCGAAGATGCAGAAAGAAAATTGCTGTCGTTGGCAACTATCTCATTACCAAATATGGAATCACTATTGCTGCAAAAATTATCACTTGATAAGACTACGAAATTGATAGTACTATCCAGCCATGAAAGAATCAATGACTGCAAATTCAACTCATGAGTTGAGTAAAAAGTTTTGAGTTTCCAATCGTACCTAAATAGACGGTCAAAATCATCAAAATCTCCAATATTGCCCCAGTCGCAATCAAGGAAACTGTTACTCTTTTCTTCTTGATCATTACCGAACACTTCTGATTCACCATCTAGTTGCCCTGTATACAGATCAAGAAAAGCTATGTAACTCAGTATCATCTTATTTTTCATAATTGCATGATTTTTTTAGGTATATCTGTTGGACTAGAAGTTTTCAAACTGAAGCAGAAATACAATAAACATTTGGCAATGCAGCATGCTGAAAGAAGAAATGAACCTGTAGCTTTTCCTGTCACTTTCTGTAAACTGGGTTCAGCACTGAAATCCAGATATGTGGATGCTATGTTGTCATCACTATAGTTTCTATCAAGTGTAGGATTCAAGGAAGGAAGGTCAGGCCAGGATTCCATGTCAATTCGTGTGGCTGAAAAATGTGCACTTGTCTGATTTGCAGTCTGCTTTTCCATCCCTTGAAGTCCAGTTTGAACACCTGCAGAATGTTCAGTGATGCCAGCAATACTAGCCGCCTCTTCCTCATTGTTCTTGCGAGTCGTACTATCTTCTGCACCTTTAGGATAAGGCACAATATGGTCCTCACTCTCATTGAACTCAGCCCATATTGCATCCCCTACCTGCATTCCAAAATGAAACAAATAATAAAAAATGGGCATACCAGCTTGTTTGCTTAGATCTCTGAGAAACCTGCCTGGCACGCATCCATCCCAGGCATCAGATTCTTGATGCCTGGGGTTGGATGGACGTGCTTGGCGCTGCCCCCCCAGGCCAGGGCTGTGATCAATCTCCAACAATAAAAGAGAAAAGGAATTAAAATTATCTATATTCATCCGATGGGAACCTACCAAGTGCACACTCATCCAAATTTCTTTAAAGGATCACATAAATTTCGATATCTTATGTTACAAGATCAAGTTGAAAAATAGACCAAATCTAAAATATAATTGAAATTTTCTGTATAAAATCAAAATTCCTAGCAGAAGTAGCGAGTAGAGTCCAGTCTATGCTCATGTCCAAAACAATAATATGAGACTGGAAGGAGAATGTTAAAATCCAAAAAGAAGTGAGAGCATTTAGTGATGTGATGGTAAATGGTGCAAGGTTCAGAGTTGAAAGTCCAATTCAAAATTCAGAGAAATAATCAAGCACAAAGCAAAAGTGTAGTGTATTAGATATTATCGCTGAAGGTCCAAAGTATTCAGTATAATATGTTATGTCCTTAAATTCATATGAGCATATCTGAATTCAAGGTTCCTGAATAAAGTTATCCTTTTATGAGGAAATACTGAAATCAATAGAGTAGAACATTGCCAACTGAGTGGCATGCACCAAAATGAGTAGCGCAAATAAGAAAAATTGACATTGTGATTTACTACAGAACCAGTTTGCAGTTCACTTCAGCAGCTATCAGTAAAACCATCAAGTTCATAAAAACATTTACAGGCTCAGTTCACTACTTTTTTTTTCCAACAAACTATGGAGGGAACATTCTAAGAGCCATGAAACTTATAAAGACTCCCTTAGCTTTCTTCCAATAGAACATATAAGTCCATATTCCAGCACTGCTCTGGGCATTAGACAATCTTACACGCTTCAGAAGTAGAGGCAATCAAAGCAGAATTGTCCCCTAGTCATGCTTGTTAGCACAGAAAGTGTCCAAAAGGCTCGCACTGCTGCAACCTGCAGGGATGCAGTCGACCTGCGTAGCAAGAATTCTACGCTTCCGCTCGTAGTCCCTTGCACCTCCAACTCCCCCAACTTTAACCCCCAACGGTATGGGATAACAGCAAATTCCCTTCCGGAACAACCACATCCAAACTAAAAAACCTAGTGAATTAGAGCGCGTGGGGCACGGAATGACGCAACGAAATATAGAGCCCGAGCAGATCCAACCAAGTGAGCAAGCATAACGCAAGATTCTAGATTATCACGGGAAAGGCAGACGGGGAGGGGCACCTGCGGCTGCTCGTCGTTCCAGTTAAACATCCTGCTCAGGTGGCGGCCGCCGTCGCGGGAGCCGCCCCCGAACCCGAAGCCGAACTGCGCTGTCTCCCGGGTCCCAACGGTCGCATCTCCGACCGCAGGAAAAGCACCCCAACTCGCCGGCACGGCCAAGCCTCGCGCCGTCCTCTCCACTTCCTCCTCCCGTGCGTATCGTCTTCTTTCCTCCAGTTGCCTTCTGCGGCTCTCTCCACCCACCAAGAGTAGTCCAGGGAAGGGAGAATGCGTGGCCGCTGCCCATTGGGCAAGCGGCTGCAGTGGGGCGTTGGAAAGCCACGTGTGCGGAGGCGCATCTTGGGTAGTGGTCAAGAGGGCTCGATCAAATGCCACGAGCTGATTGGCTGCGGGGTTTCTTAGCGGGTGTAGGGTTAGCGCTTACCGGGCTGTTGGTGTCATATATAGCCAACATGCAGCCTGTTCGCTTGCTCATAAACGATCGTAAATTTCCAGCCGGGAACAGTATTTTTCTCTCACACCAAACCAGCCAGCAGTAAATAATCCACGATACGATACGGCCTCCCGAACAGGCCGATGGTGCGGTGCCGACTGAAATAGGTGGAGCGGTAGTCTAGAGATGGTAATAGGTAACGTCACCGCCCGATTCTACGCGGGAAATTTCCATATTAAAAGATGGCGGTGAGAAATTTACTCCCTATACAAGGATTAGAGCAGAAAAAAATTAGTCTTTGTCAAGTTTGCAGGGATGGGATGGGGAATGATCCCATCTCTATTCCCTCATACCCGCTCTGCAAACTCGTTCTTACTCTAAATTAGCCTTTTGACATTGAAATTAGACATGTTGATGAATATCCTAATCCATTCCCCAAATCCACACTCGTGTGATTTAGGTAGGATGTGGATAAGTGACCTGCTACCCGTTGAATTAAAGGTAGGATACGTGAGTCCCCACTTCTATTCGTAGTCTAGTCTCTTTCTCTTGTGTTCGTCTGCCGACGTTGAAAGTATCTAGATGGCTAGAAGGGGATGAATAACCTATAAAAATATTCTAAAAACATCATAACACTAGTGCAAAGGTGATTAGTACAACAAAAATCCCTACAAGCATCTACTTTGCTCTAGCTCTATTTCCACACAACGCAAGCCCCTACACAATTATAGTAGCCTTTGGTTTCTGTAAGGAAACTAGATCCTTGGCCCATTTAGTTCAGTTTTTGGTATTTGATGATCAACATGACTCAGTTGGACTAATGAATTTGCGAGTGTTTATTTTGTAGTCCAATAAGGTACAAAGGTGGTTTCGACTTAGGAAACAGTGCGATCCGGATGGTAAACACCACAAGCAAAGACATTAGAAAGCTTGATTGAAGACCTACCAGACATGCACAAGTCCAAGGCACAAGAAGGGAACCAAGCCGGACGCAAGGAGCGTGAAGAATCAAAGAAGGGAGAAGATAGCAGGGCGTCAGACCCTTAGGGGGTCGTTAGACCCTAAAGTGTCAGACTAGTCCGATTTAGTGAAATTCTCAGCAGTAGCATTAGGCATAGCGTCGGACCGAACAAGCTCACTGTTCATCAGGGCACAGAGGCAGCAGGAGCATTAGACTCTGCTCAATGGCAGCATCAGACCAATTGAAATTGTAGTTTGACGGTTTCCAGAATGGTTCCCGAGAGGAGAAAAAATGTTGGACCCAGTCCGACAGGGCAGCGTCGGACCAGTCCGACGGTCTAGCCCAGTGTCAACCGTAGAGGTGATGGCAACGGTCGACAACGGTAAGAAACAGCTAGCTCTGACAAAGCGTCAGACCCTGACACCCCAATTGTCCGACGCCCCCCGCTTTCGATCCGATGGTACGCAGGAAAGGGTGCCAAGCTTCCAACGGCTAGCTCATCTATTATGGCTATAAATAGGACCCCAAACCGGCCAAGAGAGGTGTCAATACTACATGCAGACCTATCATAGTCGTTTCATAACCCCATCGCAGCCGTTTTCAGCCTCGGCAGTAAACACTCGATGGTGATAGTCGAAGTCATCACGGTCGGTTCAGAACCGACAGTGATGGCTTGTCAACACCACCACAATGGTCAATGAGCCGATTGTAATCGTGATAATCACCATCGCCTTGCAGCACGACCTAACTGTGTGCACTGTGGGTTCACAGTCGCTTTCACGTCCGATACGTCTGTGGCGAGGTGAACAGCACCGTCGGTTGGGAGTCCGAACCGCCTATGTAATGGTCATGAAAACCATCGCATTGCACACGATATGACTGTGTGCAATGCACTTTCACTGTCGCTTTGACGTCCGGCACGTCTATGTCAAGGTGAACATCACCGTCGCTTGACCGTATGAACCATCTGTTCAATGGTCATGGTTGTTGACGGTGAAAATGTCACAAAATTACACACTCAAAACACCATCAACAACCTCGGTTTCAAAGGGGGGACAACATGTCATGAGCATATTTTATCAATAACGAGTTCCACTTGTACTTTGAGCATGTGTATACAGGATGTCACAAAACTGAAGAAGATGAGCCTGTGAAGCTCCACATAGAGGTCGCCAGACCTCTACTTGGGCCCACCAGGCAATGCCAATTCACCATGATCCATGTGAAGCATCCCAAAATCATTCCCCACCCTTGGATCACACTTGTGTTTTCTCTCAAGGGTGGAGGATCAAGCCACATGGATTCATGGGCCCACAAATGAAGCAACCCGACGTGACTAAGATGATTCACACCTCATACACACTCACTTACATGTGGGACATGGTTCTAGAAGAAGGAGAGTGGGCCCACCTACCATTGGGGGTTGGGCGACCTCACTAAGGAGCTAACCAACCTAAAATTTCACCACTGCCTCTATGCATGCCTCCATGCATCCTCCTTAATCTGAACCATTGATCAAAGGTCAGTTCAAGATCAGTGGATCCAAGGGCCATGTTGAGGAAGCACATGGATCACTGACATGGCACCACCTCTACCTCTACCTATAAATAGAGGGTCACTCCCCCTTACCATTCATGGTGAAGAAGCCTACAAGCTCAAGTGAAGAGTAGTTAGTCCACTTTATCTTAGTAGTGTAGTCTAGAGTGGGAGTTAGAGTTGAGTAGTGAGCTTTGCTTGGGTCTTCCGGAGCTATCTTCTAGAGAGTCTGGTATAGCTCTTGTACCTTTTCCTTTCTTTTGTAAGACTTTACCTTATTCAATATATTACTCTTTCTCTACTTTACTCAGTCTTTAGCTTGTGCAATATTATACTAGTTGTAGTATTGTTGTGGCTTATCTAGTCATAGAGTTGTTATATACAAGATTGTGATCTTGGAAACACACCTGTATTGCAATCATCGCCTATCACAGGGTGCTCTAGTTGGCCTCGTAACTATAGCTAGAGTAGTGAGAGAAGGTGTAAGCGTGGTGCTTATACATGATCTTGCCTTTGGTTACCACTTGTTGCACGGATTGTTTGTGGTAGCTAGCAGGTGGTGACAGCCCTATCTAACCTTTGCATTCCACCACATGTTGTAGATAAGTTCTTAAAAGGTAGGGCTCCAGTAACAAGGTAGCTGCTTTGGATAGGGGTTTTGTCTCCTATTGTCTCACCTATCGCCTAGCATACTTGTTGTGAGGTATCAATCTATGTGTCTTGATTGTGTGATTTGGTTGTTACACGAGTAGAGTTAGAAACATAGGAGTCATATACTCCCTCATTGTCCTCCCACCTAGCTATACTTACTAGTTATCTTATTTATCTTTATCTTGGCTTGTTTCATCATCATCCCTCCCTACCATATTTTGTTTACCCCATATACTAGTTGATACTAAGTTGTGGTATATAAGGATCTCTCTTTTATTATCATTCCTAGTTACTGCTTTCCCTTGGGATAAAAATAAATAATGATATCTTAGAATACTCTCGGGTGAAGTGCTACAGCGATATATTCTGTGTGCTTGCGGAATAATCCAATAGACATAAGAAATACCAACAAGCATTTCTAGCGCCGTCACCGGGGAAAGCATCATCCTAGGAATTTTAATTAAATTGAATCCAGAATTTACCATCAAATTAGTTATCAATTAGTGTAGGGGCTTACCCCTGTCTTTGTTTCTCATTGTTGTGAAGCAAGACAGTGTATGAGCGATTTTCAATTGCCAGGAAATTTCGTTGAAGATCCCAAGCAATTGTTGAGGAATAATAGACGCCGTAAAGTTCCTCCTCAAAGGTTCATCTCGAACCTGAATCTGTTCTAGGAAGGAAGCTCCGCACCACCACCTAAGGAATCTATGGTTCAAAAGTCGATCGTTGACTTCTCAGCCCTGTCAGCCACTGATGTGGCCACAGGACCCCAATTCAACTTGGGGGATGCCACTTTTGAGCTTAAGCTTGTGCTTATCAACATGGTGCAAGACAGCCCATTTTGTGAGAAGCCTCATGAGGATGCCAATGCCCACCATCAACACTTCTTGGAGGTGTGTGGCACCTTCACTATCAAGGGTGTGACAGTAAACGCCATCCACCTTCCACTACTACAAAATAAGGATATTGTAACACAATCTTGTAACACATTCATCAATGTGTTCCAAAGAAATTTAATAGTAACACGAACTATATGTTACGCACATAGGTTGTAACACAAAACACTTGTTTTATAAAAATGTGTTACTAATAACGATAATAGTAACACAAAATTTAATGTTATAAGTAAAATGTTACAAAAGTGGACTTGACAAGTTTAAGTGTCACATAAGTCTAAATGAACTTACCACATGAACACTTAACAAGACATGCACATTTAAGTGTAACAATTAATTGGTTAAATGAGCTTAACAAGCTTAGGTGCCCTATGTCAATTTTGAATATTTCTTTTGGGATATGCAGATACCTTCGGGATGAATCCACACTGAATACGCATGAAATCGATTTCTAACATTTCTTTTGTTTTAATAGAACATAGTCATTATAAAAACAGGGATTAAAAATAAAGAAACCGATAAGTTGATATATTCTCAATTTTCCAAGATATATTCTCATTTGTTATACACTCCTATGTCATTTGATTGCTTATAACTATTGCCATGGTTGTTTTAGGTTGCAATAATCTTTGGTGGTGTTGCAATTGTTAGGTGGTTATTGCAACAAGAATCCTGAATGGATGCAATAGCATGTTCCTATTGCCACATTTTTTGGGGTTGTAATAATCTTCAATGGGGTTGCAATTGTTAGGTACTTATTGCAACTAGAATCCTAAATGGACGCAATATCATGTTACTGTTGCCATGAT